TAGAAGTACATCCACTCGTGTTTTACACAAATCGCGGTCCGATTCGGTTCAACGTGTGGGACACCGCCGGTCAGGAGAAGTTCGGCGGCTTAAGGGATGGCTATTATATTCAGGGTATAGTGTGGTCGACACCGAGAGTGTGGTGTCCATCACTTATCTCATTGTCTATTGACTGACACACATATGTGTTAACCCATAGGCCAGTGCGCTATCGTAATGTTTGACGTGACCTCTCGGGTGACGTACAAGAATGTGCCGAATTGGCACAGGGATCTGGTCCGGGTGTGCGAACACGTGCCCATTGTTTTGTGCGGCAATAAAGTGGACGTCAAGGATAGGAAAGTGAAGGCAAAGGCTATTGTGTTTCACCGCAAAAAGAATCTACAGGTAATGATTGAGTGGCGGATCAGTTGTGGCCATTCAGATGGTGTTTAAGACTACGGATGTGATGACTAACTCTATGTGTCTGAACACGTGATTACAATTCTCTATAAACTGATTGCCAATAAAAACACTGCTATTAAGTGGCCGTTAATAACGATGTAAATTAAGCGGACGTGTGTTTCCCTCTCCCCGTCGACCAGTACTACGACATTAGCGCCAAAAGTAATTACAACTTCGAGAAGCCGTTCCTATGGTTGGCCCGAAAGCTGATCGGAGACCCGAACCTGGAGTTAGTGGCGGAACCACTGTTAGCGCCGCCGGAGGTCCAGATCACTGCCGAGTGGCAGAAGAAACTCGAGGCAAACCTGATTGAGGCCGAGAGGGCACCGCTTCCTGACGATGAGTTCGATGAAGACCTTTAATAACACAATAATTGTGTTTTTATAAATGCTTTAAACTTATTATTATTATATATTACATGATTAACTAATACAACAATTTTTAAAATAATAATGCTCATTATAAGTAACTTTATTTCTTTAATTTAATTATTCTAATTTACATTCAATTAACTTATATTTAAAATATAAATTAATGTCATTGTTATGGAAAACAAACAAAAATGTTAACATTAGTAAGTTTTCAAACATTTGAAGCATTTTTTACGGCAATAAAATTTTGAAATAAATATTTCATGAATTTCAATAATTTTAAGTTTAGGACTTTTGGACACCAAATGCCAGAAATCAATGTCTTTGAAACCATTAGTGAGATAGCAGTCAATCACCAGTGATTTCAGAGTCAGTAGTTTTGATATATCCTTCAAACCCTTATTCTTTATCAGATGATTAGGGCTACTAATGGATAGGTATTGAATTCGTGGCAAATATTTGGCACTAATTTGTTCAAAATTAATGTCATTTCTGTGTAAATAGAGTGTTAAATGTGGTAATCTGAGGCATTGGCTCAACGGTTCCAAAGACTTGTGATCGATGGCCGCATAGAGTGTTAAATCCAATCGTTTTAATCCGGGAAAGAATGCCAACGAAATCAATATCTGATCACTTATTTGCTCACAACTTGTAATCAATCCGAGTGTCAATCGTTGCAATTGTTTGCAGTTTAAGCCAATTGTACGCAAAGACTCAGACAATGAGTTCTCGCCATTCATTATAGTTATATTGAAACTCAATTCCTGTAATTGTGTTAATCGTGACAATTGTCCGCACATTTCGGTCAAAGTCTCGTGATTTTCATCTGAAATAACAATCACTTCAATACTTTTGAGGGACTGATTGTGTGCCACAAATGCAGACAACATTACATTATTATCACTCGATTTATAATTAAATGAAAATGAATGCAAATTCTTAGCCAATAGTTGTTGTGAAACATCTGCCGAAGAGCTGTGGAAGACGTCGGATAACGAGTTACCCCGTAATCGAGACAATTGTAGGCATTTTTCGAGACAATTATAGTAAATTTGCCGCAAATGTCGGCAATTGTCTCGAAATATGTCCAACACTTTCAGACTCTCCACAGAATATTTGTCTTTCAATGCTTTCATTTCAATGGTCCGAATGTTTGGACACTTTATGGCAATTATCGTCAATATTTGATAATTTAATTTCTTATTGAGAGTCTTCTCATTAAGAGTGATGTCCACAACACTCCCGAAGATTGTCCTCTGGAACTGTTTGGACACACATTCGCATCGAAACCGATCTTCGAGTGAGAGATAAGACAATATGAGTCCAAACATGTCATCACCGAATCTGTCCATTGAGTTCTTCGCGTAAATCTGTGGCAAAATGTTTGACAAAAACAATGAAAACTCAATAAACAGTGAATTGTTTGTCAAATACCTGTTGTTTGTTGTCTTTGTTGCCATCATTTGCGCTCTCAAGTGATGTCTTCTTGTGTTTAATCTGTTGTGTCATATCTTGGGATCAAATGAAGTGATGAATAAATAGTTATGTTTTTGTTATTCACTGCAAAACATGTGATAATATTTGCATTGAATTCAAAGCCAACACAAAGTGTTGACAACGAGTGAGACATCTATTGACACATATTTTTTAACTTTTCATCACTTTTTGCCCACACTTTAAATGAAAGTTTTAAAGATTTGTAACAATTTATAATTTATTATAAATTAGGAAATTAATTTATAATTACTTTAAAATTTTGTAATATTTACAACACATTTATGTATGTTTTGGTCTTTATATGAAAATAGGTTTACATATTATAGACATTGAAATTTTCAAATCCTAATTAATAAATTCAATATTTAATTATTATATGATTTATTAATTCAACAAATACATCATACTGAATACATGAATAAAAAATTACATAGAATAAATATCAGCTTAATCGATAAGTAATTTCATTAAAAATACCCTTTTGTATGAATGGCTGTTAAATTTGTTTAATGTTAGTCAACAAATCCGTTTAAACACCATTTAATACACACATTATTTAGCTTTAATTCCATGTAAAAAATTATTAAATTTATACCAAGAAGTGACAATTTTACCCGAACTCCCGATATCGAATACATTAACAAACTTAACCAATTTTAGTTTTAACTCATTAGGATTATTAAATTGGCTCACAAAAACAATGTATTAGTTTTAGATGATGTATTATTTACCAATCAATGATATGAACTGGTTAAAAGGTCAATGTCCATTGGTTATGACCACAAGGACTGCACCCGAACGGGCCGACCCCGAAAAGTGGAAAATCAGGCGCCAAATAATCGGGATGTGTCCAATTCACGATATCTATATATGGAATTGTTGGTCATTATATGCTTTCACTGACCAACAATTTATGACCATTTAAAAGCGATTACCGTGGTGTCCAGATCCAGTAATTGGACACATGCTCAAAATATGGCTATTTTTAGCCTATTTTTAGACCACATTTTTCGAAAATTACCCGAAAAAAATTAGAGGACTTTGGGTCATAAATCTCTTCACACCCACCATATACTCCAGTTATCCCTCTATCAGATGACTGTTAATATCATTCTCTGGGGTACAAAATGCTAAACAAAAGTAGTGGTCAAAACAGACACCACTCACTTCTTTGACTCGCATGGCAGCCATTTTTATCGGGAATTAAATGAAAATTTGTCAGAATGATGGCCAATAGTTGCAGATAATTATGGCTATTTTATAATTTGAATTATTTTTTTAATATTACGAAAAATGAATTTTCTTTGAAAGACTAATTTAGTGAAAAGACTTATCGATTGAGCTAATATATTAAAGATATTATTAATTACGGTAATTGAATAGAATTTATAAATATTTAATGCATTTTTACGGCAATAAAACTTTGAACCGTTTTTGTTACTGATTTCAATGTTTTTTAGTTTAAGAATTCATTAATAAAATATAAAGTTTATATTATAAACAAAGATTTGTAATGAATAATAAGTAAATAAATAATTAAATACTATTTAATATAAAGTATATTAATTGACATTACATTTACAAAACAGTTAACACTTATCGTATATTTATAATATATTTATGACATTTTATAACATAAAAATTGGAATATTGAATTGTATTGTATAGTATTTATAATTACCATTAATAGTATACAATAGTAGTAATTATCATTAAATAAGAAAAAAAACTTTAAAAGTTATATTAAAAGTTATTAAAATATAAATTTTAAAAAATAATTAAATACAGTTTAATGAATGACAATATTAGCTACAATCAGGACTACATCTTAAGAATAATGAAAACAAAAACCAAATCACTTTATAATTATAAATAGACACAAATCGAGATTTGAAATATAAATAATAACTTAAATGTAAGAAATGAAAATTTAATTAATAATTATTTAAACATTGATTGCATTTTTACTTTGAATAAAACTTCTTCTCATTGTTTACATGGATTTCAATTGTCTTGAGTTTAGGACTCGAAGACAACAGGTCTTCGTAGGCGTGATCTCTGAGACTACTATTCATATCATTTACAGTGTAGTGAATGACAAGCGTTTGCAGCGCCGGTAGTCTTGAGACGTGTGACAAACACTTGACGTTAAAATATCGGCAATCAATGGACAGGTATTGAAGTCGTGGCCAAAGTTCGTAACAATTGGCAAACAATCGGTAATTTATTTGCCGACAATTGATTGATATATGCGTTAAACTATGTCCGGGAATTAATAGATCCAGCGATTGATTGCCGATAGTCTTAAGGCAGTTATCATCGAAACGCACCGTTAATTTCAGTTGTTTTAATCGCAGAAACAATGCCAACGAATCCAATGTCCGGCCAATGAGTTCTGTCGTCGGAGAGACCAACTCGAGTGACAATACTTTTAATTCATTGCAATTCACAGCAATTGTCGGCAAAAAGTCATTCAACTTATGGCAAAAATGACTTAATTCAAGCGTTAATTGTCGTAATTGTGGTAATCGTGACAATTGTTGGATCAATTGGGCGATAGTGTCCTGACTCTGACAATGGATTGAGTTTATGGCCAGACTTTGCAGCGACTGATTGTATGCCACAAATGTGGACAACAATACAATATTATCTTCTCTTAAATTGAAATTATATTCAAATCTCAATAAATTTTTTGCCATTATTTCTACGGAATGGTTGTTAAAGACATCACTTATGGAAGTGACCGATAAGTGTGACAATCGGTGGCAATGAATGAGTGAGTGTTTCTCCGAAACGCTACCGATTCGGGTGATAATGGGTCCCAATTTTGAGATCAATTGGTAATCATTTGATCTTAAATTATAGTATATTTGCCGCAAATGCCGGCAATTGTCATGAAATGTGTCCAACACTTCGCGAATGTGTTCATCATATTTGTTGTCTATTTCTCGGCAGTCAATGGTTTGAATGTTTGTACAATTTATAAGAATTGTGGCCAACATTTCGGTATCACTTCTCTTATCATTTCGTAATTTTTGAATAAATCCATCGCTAAGAGTGATGTCCACAACACTCCCGAAGACTGTCCTCTGGAACTGTTTGGACACACATTCGCATTGAAACCGATCTTCGAGTGAGAGGTAAGACAAGAGAAGTGCACACAAATCATCACCGAATCTGTCCATTGAGTTCTTGGGATTCATATCTTGGGAACAAATAAAATGATTTTATTTTATAAATGGTTTCATTGATATTAATTTTAATATTCCTAAGGATATAAAAATTGGTTATATTTAAATAACTGCTTTAAAAGTTATGCAAAAATTATCAATATATGGTTTATAACTAAAGTTTAGTTATAAGTTATAACTATTTAAAAATTTATAACTTTTAACTCTAATATTGAATAAAAATTGAATTTAAATATCAATACCTTTGATAAGTGATCCGAAAGTGGAAAACAAGTGATTGTTATTTGGGGTTAAATAGCAGTAGATTTCCC